ACTTTCACCTAGTTAGAAGCCGATTTAGGAAATTTTCGTGAAATACACTTTTGTAGTCCTTGAATTTTAGTTTCTACTTTCCAAAATTCAACTCAATCGGAGTACGGAATAAAAAGTTATGGCTAAAATACTAAAATAGTGTCAAATTCCTTCCGATCCGAATTCTTTCTAAAATGTGCTTTAACTCTGGAATATTTTTTAACTTCTAATACACCTTATATAACATCTCCTGAGGTTTTTTGACCTTCTGGATTCAATGGTGATATTATTTTGACATAAAAATATTTATAAACTTACCTATCTAGCCTTCTCAAGTTTAAACGCCTTTGAAACTTAAATTTTATGATCAATTTATCTTTTAATTATTTATTTCTACTCTTACAACCTATATGGTTCATCCTTACGTTCGGACGCTGAGAAGTTAGGGCAGACATAAGTATACTCAATCGAGAAGTGATAGCATCCATATCACTCAGCTAAGGAGGAGCAGCAGTGGCAGTAGGTGGTGGTACCTCAGCAATAGCAGTAGAGGCTACGAGGAGGCGGCTTAAGCTCTGGATAGAGCTTCCAGCAAGCAACCCTAAGATGTCCTGGTCGGCCACAATAATCACACTGACGAGAATTCTCATGTCTACGCTGATCTGGGACACCTTGACGGCGCTGGTCCTCGCGCTGTCCACCCTTGACTGAGGATCCAGAACGAGACCCTGCAGTAGCTACAAGGGACATCTGGTTAGTCGGAGGAGTTAAGATCGCAACAGAAAGTGATGCAATACGGACGCGGTGCTCATGCTGCTCAATCATCGCATACACCTCATAAAGGGAAATAAACTTCAACATTGACAAGATCTGTGAATGAGGCCCCTCAAACTCATCACGAAGCCCCATAAAGAATTTGTGAATCCTATCCTACTCTTGAATACGCAAGAATGCTGCTCCCTCGGGCTTTATCCTTAGAATAGCAACAAGAGGACGTAGAGTCTCATACTTAAGCCAGCGTTGGGTCAAATAGCCATAATAATTCTGAATGGTCATATCTCTTTGCCGAGCATATGAGAGCTCTTGAGAAAGCTCAAAAATACAAACTCTCTGTCCTAACCGAGAATACATCTCTAATAATGTGCTCTATAGTTTCGAAACAAAGCTATGAAACTGATAAATCCTACAAACAGATAGCTCCATTAATCCAAATAACCATCCAAGAATGACATAGTTCTTAGAGAACCACGCAGAATATTCAAGGTCGTCATCAACTGGCTTTGGGTGAGATCTCGTCAGCCAACCAAACTTCCCTACACGGCCTAAGAAAAGCTGGAATAAGCCATTCAACAACTGTGTCGTTACTTTTTGAGAGATCATGCCCGGCAATACTGGTAATGCTACTGTGCTAGTATGTACTGTATACTGGTCAAACATAAAAATGAAAGTACTAATGGATGTCTCAACGGTAGAGGTGTCAACATTAGGGATCTCAAGTCCCTCAGTAGTAGTCATATCATCAACAATACTAGGCCACCCGTGACAGAAAAACTACTCTAAGATAAATAGACGGATAAAATAAAGGAGAACAATATACCTCTAGCCGAACTGTAATGACAGATAAAGAAAATCCAGAAAGATCCTAAATAATCATGTCACGGTGCCTAGAAATTCAGTAAATATATAAGCGATCTACTGCATCAAAAGCAGTTCAACAGAAAAGAGGATTCAACCCCTCTTAAAAAGTTGTTAGATGATGTAACTCTAGGAAAAAGAAGTCAGTGGTGCAAAAGAGATAGCGGCACTATGAAGAGCGCGAAACACGAAGGCGGGGGGTTGGAACTTGGGTTGTGGGTTTGGTTGGGCATTATGAGTTTTATGTTGGTCGGTTTAGTTGGGTTGGTTTGATGTTGCAAAGTAGTTTTATGCTAGTTGGTTTAGTTGGGTTGGTTTGAGTATGTCGATGGAGGATGGCTGTCGGTGGAGGATGGATGTATTATTCGCATAGTTATCAAATCGTGTATCGGAAGGCATATCGTTTTTTAAAAATAGTGTATTGTAAGATACGGTGCAATTTTAAATAAATAATAAAAAAATATATATAACTTTGAAAAAAAATCATACACTCATAAAAATATAGCATTTCATTAATACTCCACCACCTATTCAAGTCATCAACATAGTTCACTAATATTATAATATAAAGTTTACAACCATAGTTCACTAATTCAAACTTCAAACACCAAAGAAACTTTTAATCCAAATTTCTAATATCCATTTTGAACTCAATCCAAAAAATTAACCAAGATTCAGAAATTTTTATACAAAAAAAAAAATTAGTGTCTTATTTAGACAAAACGACATCGTTTCATCAGTGGCGGGGATAAAAAAATTAGTGTCTTATTTAGACAAAACGACGTCGTTTCAAGAAAAAAAAATAAAAAATAAAACAGGTTTTGCGCGTATCAGTCGTATCGTATCATAAAAACGTATCGTATATTGGACGATAAGATGCAAAAACGATACATAATTACGATCCGTATTGTTTTACCTCCGTATCGTAACGTATCGTGCGATACTAACAACTATGATTGTTCGTTGGTTTGGTGGAGTGCTTGGTGGTTTCGACTGGGTGGTATGCTACGGCTGTTGTTGTCGGTTTCGCTGGTGAGTGTTGTTGTCGGTAGTGGATCTAGGTTAGGACCCTGAAGTTTCTTGCGGATGGTACTATTGATCGTCACAAGGCTAGGCTTGTGGCGAAGGGCTTTACTCAGGTACTAGGTCGTGATTTTGATATCACACTCATGGAAGGATAGGGGTTTGCTCAACAAAACTCTCTTCTTTGCTATATGCTCATATTGTAAAGAGTCTATGTGAGAAACAAAACAAATCTACAAAATTTTTGTGTTACTCGATCGCATAGCAAGCGGCTATCGATCATCAGTCTCAGGACTTCAATTTTGATTGCGCAAAACACACAACTGCCCATGCGCTGCTTCACTGTTATCGTCTGGGAATTGTTTTTTTCCTTTCCAATTCATCCTATTGAGCTTGCTTCAGCTTTGGTAGAGCACTGGTCGAGTGCCAGCATCTAAAAGGCACTTTTTTTCTCTTGTTACCTAACACCCTTTGAGCACCTAGGGGTCTTGCTCAACCAGGGGTCAAACATAAGCCTTGAAATGTAATTTTGAGGACAATTTTTTCAAGGCTAATACATAGACAATGTATGAGCATCATAGGTCGAGTTTAGTTAATATTTAAGCTAATCAATCACTACGGATCATTATGTCTCCTACTACTAAACATTAGATTTCAAAGACACAGACTATGAAGCACAAACACAGATCCGGAATGCGGATAATATGATACAAAAAGGGTAACACAACAAAAACTAAAAAAAAGGATACATGTACCACTATGATACGTCCATAACCGAGCTTGTTTAATATAAAATAAGGTTTGAGTGTGAACTATAATGGGTTGGGTAAGCTAGGTTGACACACTTGGTTTGAAATTGCACATCTATCAAAGATATATAATAATAACTAACCATTCTATCATTCATAAATTATATATTCTACACATACATATTGCATAATATCCAAAAATGTTTGCATACCAAAAAAAAAAATGATGTCATGTCCATGCTTAAACGAAAGAAACCATCCTATTAATCAAATTAAATAGATTAAACAATGTTCCCAACAGTTCAAATGCAATTCAAATGAAGATTAAACAGTGTCTAGGCAAATAGTTCAAATGCAGATTAAGCAGAAATCCTATATGTGTAATTTGTTCTCCAAACAACTTAAAAAAAAAATTGTTCTTCAATCTAACTGCCAGGGCAATCAAAATCATTGGTTCAGATTTATTTGGGGGGAGTTTGGGAAATATTGACCCACTTAGCTATAAAAATCATCTAATTTGTGAGAGAGATTTTCATTGTAAATTACAAAAAAAATTCTAATTGCAAACCCTAATTCAAGGCCCCAAAGTTTGTTTTGCAAACTTTAATTGCAAAAGAGGAGTGCTAATCACTTGTAAAAGGCAAAAGAAAGGAGAGAGACACAGAGAGAGAGGAGAGAGGAGAGAGCTTATGGTGATACCTGGACATTGGACAATACAGAAGAGGGACTCCTTACTTATCAAAGCTACACTTCACAATACCAGGAAGGAGGAGAGATGTTGTCGGCATCAAGTGAGACTGATGGAGGTGAGAGAGAGAGAGTTAACATCGGACACATCGACTGAGTGGGGAGGGGGTGTCTGTCGAATAAGTTAGGGTTTTTATTTTTATTTTTGCAAATAAAGGCCAACATATTTGCTCTGGTGCCCCAGTTCTATATTAAAAATACAAGTAATACTCCGTCGTATCCATCTTGTATCTCTTGTGTATCTTGACGTATCTAAAATTCAATTTTTTTTTTTTTTTAAATTTCAGGATACTTCCCGGCCATATTGGATACATATTCCGGCATATCGGATGCATATCCGTATCCTGTACGTATATGATACTGATACCTTGCCCCTTTTGAAGTATCCGTGCTTTCATAGGGTGAAGAATTCAACACTTCTTCAACAATCTGGCTTTGATATGCAAATCATCAACTCAATAACCCATTGATCTGCAGACTTGGCTTATGGGACTAGTGAAATTTTGCCAGCACAATAAAAATCTAACAAATTTGAAAGGATTTTTTTTTCCCCGAAATTTTGTTGATATTAAATAATAGAACTATTAATCATGTTCCATGAAACAGATTTATCTGGAAATTATAAATTATTTAAAATTTGAAGTTATTGAATATTAATTAGTCAAGCCTTGACTGTATTTACACTTGTCATCAAGATAAATTTGATGCATATTCTATATTCCCGAGTAGTGAGCAGATAAGCAAGTATACTTGGATAGCAGACTTAGAAATGCACTGATGATCGTGAAGTTTTGACTCATTCTATCTTCTATTACTTTGTGGATTAGCATGAATCTTGTTAAAGCAACTTGTTTCATCCATATGCAGCAAACTCCAATTGTGAGCTTGGAAGAGGTGATAGAATTAGTGGTTGGAAACCACAACCAATTCTTAGCCTCAAAGATGTTCACATCATTCAGATAGCAAGTGGTGGATATCACTCTCTTGCTTTAACAGGTATGATTGCAGTAATTTTATGATTTGAGTAACTAGCATTTCAGTGTTCATTGAAGGACAATGATGTAAGCGTTCCATTCATGGTCATGTTATTTCAGATGAAGGTAAAGTCCTTTCTTGGGGTCATGGTGGATTTGGACAGTTGGGTCATTCTTCTATTCAAAACCAGAAATTTCCTGCTCTTATTGAGGCTTTAGCTGACGTGAGGATAACCAATATTGCTTGTGGAGGATCATCATCAGCAGCCATAACCGGTAAGGCAAGTCTTTTGAGTATGTCACATCAGCTATGCTGTGATAACATGCTATGAAGTCTTACTGAATTTTTGTTTGGTTTTCTTTTTCTTAAGGCATGTTCACACGAGTGCCTCATCCCACAATGCCCTTCAAACATGTCTGCTTCTTCCCTTAAAATGAATAAGTAAATGTGGAGGATATTACAGATGTTGATTGGGTTTCATGAAAGGCTCATTATCTAAAACAAAGGCCTTGGTGTAAAAGATTTTTATCATTATACTAGTAACCGTTCAGAAAAAAAATACTAGTATGATGTTGTCTGGCCTGAAATATAAATGAAAATGATGGAAAGAATAGGTGTGAAGCCTGTGATACTATGTGTTTGCATTAGAAACCAATCCGTTACCGTTCACTTGAAAGTTAACGGAAAAAGACGATGTTTATTTCGTGTCTATTTATTTAATATGGTAACTCCATCTCCTTAGACTTGAAGGATTTCTGTATTGTATATAAAATGATTATAAAGCTATTTCCAAATGGACAGACAAAGGGAAGCTTTACATGTGGGGAAATGCCAAGGATTGTCAATTAGGGGTTCCTGGGCTGCCAGAGGTGCAGCCATCTCCTGTTGAAGTTAAGTTTCTCATGGAAGATGACGGATTGGGGATCTACAATGTGCTGTCTGTAGCAATTGGGGCTTCTCATGCCATATGTCTGGTCTCGAGGTGAAGTTGCCAAAAGGTGTGTAGTAGTTTTCACTTTCGCTAACGGTTTGAACCTATCTCACATCTAAAGAGACTCGGGACCAATGGTTTGAGTGTGTAGTGAAAGTCAATAGAGCTGAAACAGGTTCAGTAGTTCAAAATTTCTCGGCAAAAAATTTTATAGCTGAATGCAGATCTTTTCTTCCTTTATGACATGATGGATTAAGGAATATCTGGACTGGTGTTTGTCTCGTAGGTTGACAGAGGCTGTCCAAATCACAAATGCTTCCCGTTTGATAGGAGATCTAAATGTTGTACAATATATGTTTGCATGGTTGCATTGCTGTATCTCTTTCCCTACACTGTCACGGATCTCTCTTTTTCTCATGGAGAGTTGAGACTAGTGACATGAGATGACGTTTGAGAGGAATAATCCAGTCGGTTTGATGTCCTGACACACGGTATACGAAAACAATTTTTTGTCTTAGCTGCTGAGTGTCGGAGTTCTTACTGTTGGTAAAATGTTTTATGGTTCTTTTTTTTTTCCTTTCCTTTTTACTGCTATTCATTGGAATTTTTCTATTTTTTGAGATTTCCACTGTCTATCATTTTTGTAAATTGCTAACAAATCGACCCACCGACATAAAGAGCTGCTAACACTGTTTACTCCATGCTTAGTGTCTTAGGCTAGTGATAGTTAGAATGGCTTTTAGATCTGCCACTGGATTAGATGCTGATCGAATTGTATTATGCCTTGATCCAAATTCCATTAAATTTTACTTTATTACATTTGTTCTGTTTATCCGATGTATTTGAAAATAGTATCAGTGTGCGGATATGCGATCCAATCCATTTATAACCCTTAAGGGTTGTTTGGTAAGAGGGTATGGGGGGCTTGATAAGATAGGTTTGGGGAAAATGGTCCAAAGGACTCCCAAATTTTATGTTTTTATGAAAAATTCAATTCCGGGTTTTTTAACTTGGCCCGTAACTGGCCCAAAGATTAAATTAATGATTATGGGTTTCATTAAACCTAGGGAGAGGGTGGGTTTGAAAAGATGGGTAAGGGGTTAATGATTCAAAAGATAATTGTATCTCTTAACATGAGTATGAATTGGATTGATCAAGGGTAAATTAGTCATTTATAGGTTGTTAATAATTATGATATATCTGTGAGTCATACATGTGTATTTATTGCATACCAAACATGGGTATAAATCGGATTAAATGTTGAATTTCATCTTTGTAAAGAAGAGTTTGGTTTTAGAAGGGTTTGAAGAAGTTAATTTAAACTCTTCCTTAAAATTCATTCAAACAAGTCATTATTTACTCTGATTATACTGGTCGTATGAATTGAAATAAATCCAAACCAATCCACGTATTCAAGAGGATTTATATCTGTCGCAATCTTGACCAATTCATAACAAGTTTGACTAAACAAAGAGAGGTAAAAAAACTAGGTTAAGTTTTACTATATCTATATGACGCCTCAAAAGTCAGAGATTTTTTGTCAACTCGTTGATTACCTATTAATCCACGGAATATTCGTGAATATTGTGTAACTCGATATCACTTTGTTATGTTTCATTTATTGGGATTATAATTTAACAAAATTCGGACAGAGTCTCTTTTGTACAGGGATTTTTACTTAAAATACAACCTGTGCATTCATATAATATTTAATCATATGACCCATCTAAGGTCTAATATATATCAATTCATACTTCTACATCATGAATTTATGCATCAAACATAACTAATACAAGTTCGATCACAATCATTTCCATAGAATTACATGTCCAAAATTGAATTTCACAAAAATTTTACAAAACAAGGTTTAAAAGTCACAAGCCAATTTTCTTTCATTCTTGAGGCCTCAAATATGAGCCGTCCACCGGTGTATTACTTGTACCTGAAATGTTTTCTCACAAAGAGTGAACCACGTTTTATAGGGTATCTTCTAAAGAGGTCACTCTCCAACTTAAGTGCATATGAAATGTCCACATGTGACATTCAACAAACAATAACTATTCCAATCAAGAATATGTAATTCAATGTTGAAAAATCACCATGTTATAAAATGAAATAAAACTCACTCATGCATTTCAACCCGAGTCCTTATCGATTCGCGTAACACATGCAATGTCAATACGTATAAATTCGTCATTTATGTTACACATCAAATGATCATTAAAAATCTTTGAGTCTTTCTTAGAGTGGGTATTTATAGATATACACCAACGGATATCCAATCGACACGGAATTTATGAATTTTCACCAACGGTTCCACGTACACCGACACACTTCATGGACTAAACCAAGGAGTGCATATCTTAAATAACCGGGTCTTGCACCGGAGAGATTGTCTAGCCATTCTTGCTAACTCCGGCCTTATTTTCAATGCAAACCATACGACTCAGTCGAATTTTCGATCCAACTTTCCCACAACTTGAGTATCATCCACCAAGAATGGTGTTTGATCAAATCATGCACACACACCCACCAAATGCAATGTCTCCGTGCATATGCAATGTAATGAACCATTATAATATAAATCTCATGTCCAATATGTAATAAATGACATATGAACTATTTCAACCACATTTCAATACATTTTCATGGGCAATTATATACAAAGCATATAATTTTCATAAATCATCACAATGCTAATACATCATAAAACATATATCAACATGTTTATCCAACAATAATTTTCAAGCATGTTTTCACATAATCTCATGCAATTAACACACTTTATTTCACATAGGCATTTAATCAAACACCTTCGAGACATCAAATCATGTAATCAAATAAATGCCCAAATTCATCATATAACTCAAGAAAATCACATTAATTGATTTCTACTACCCAATTATCCAAAATTCTAAGAAATCATAAGTTAGCAATTTCTAATTACTAATTCATACAAACATTAAATTTACCCATTTTTAGTTCTCATTTCATTAAATCACAATCATAGGCAAGTGTTACAATACATATAACAGCCTACCTATTTCATATAGTCGTCCTAAGTTAGAAATAAACTTAATTAGAATGAAAACTCTATCTCTTCAAACATAAAACAATGCTAGGAAGCTCTAAGAACCCAAATTTCGCCAAAAAATCAAACTTTTCCTAAAAATCCATCTTTAAATCTTCGGTGAAACCCGTCCTTTTTAGTATGGTTGGGTAGCCCTTGTCGCATAGATGAATTTTAATACTTGGCCCCGAAGGATTCCGACCAGTAGAAACTCCGTAGATCATAGAGAAAAATCTTAAATCTTGATTTTTTCTTCCTTTCCCTCTCTTCCTCTTTCGACGTTAAACCCAGCAAAATAGAATGGAGAAAAATCAAATTTTGTCTCTTATTTATGCCCTTTAATACTTGGTCCACGTCGCGCCACGCGTTTTCTATTTTCGAATTCGTTTTTTCTCCGAAACGATTAAATTTTATCCTGATTTAAATTCAAAATATTTTTATATAAACTTCCTTTAAATTATAATAAAATTTTAGAAATTTTATTTTTAGGATCATTTTTGAGGTCACCCGACAGCCGGTTGCCTCGAAAAACATGAAAACCAAACTATCTCAAAATTCGACGAAAATCAAATGGTAAGGTTCGTTTTGTCATCCGAGCTCTAGAGAAATACGGGTAGAGATATAATTCTTTAGGATTAGCTTGAAATCTAGCACACAAACATACACTAAACATTATATCGGGTCTTCTAGCTATCAAGTAAAGTCGACTATCAATCATCTATATAATAAAATAACTTACAATTCAAATCTCAAAAGATAAATATAATGATTTTTGCTATTCGCAGTTGAGATCGCTTTAAATATTACTTTAAAATTAATCTAACGGCTAATATTAACATTCAAAATTTAATAGGAAAAATAGGCTCTTGAGGGTATATTTGGAGTGACTTTTTAAAAGTATTTTTACAAATTATTTCTCATAAATACTTTAAAAAAAATAGTGTGTGAAACTGCCCCACCACTACTTCTATCACTACTGCCAATGCCACGACCATTACCACCACTGCCACCACCGCCACCATCGCCATCGTCGTCGCCATCACCACCAGCACCATCGCCGTCGTCGCTTGCCGTCACCGTCACCATCACCACCGCCGCCACTGCCAGCCCCGCCAACACCACCCCCACCACGACCACCGCCATGACCACCACAACCACCGCCACGAACACCACCACCTTCTTCACCACCACCACCGCCTCCACCATCACCGCCGCCATTGCCACCTCCACCACCACCACCGTCGCTACCACCACGATCATTGCCATCCACCACAACCATCATCGTCTCCTACCACCACCACTGCCGCCCACCACTTCTCACCCCCACTACAAACCGATGCTTAAATTAATTTATCTCTCTTTTATGTTTGTGATTTGATTTTGAATACGAATACAAATATATTTATTGTTTATCATTTTTTATTATTATGTGTTTTCAGGCACAAGCAATAACTAGTAACTCTATAAAGCTTAACATCAACACATTTGCCATTGTCATCCTTGTCAATTTTTAGTGAGGCATTCATGGGAGTTCCATAAGATTTTGTGTTTTCTAAATCAAATTTCTTTAGTAGTTCCTCAGTATATTTAGATTGGCTTATGAAATTTCGTCTTTTCCTTGCTTTATTCGCAATCCTAAAAGAAGTTTAGTTCTCCCATTAGGCTCATTTCAAATGCATTGTGCAAAATCCTTACATAATTTATCATTAGTAGTACCAAATATAATATCATCTACATATATTTGCACAACAAGAATATCATCATTAATAAGTTTAATAAACAATGTAGTATCTACTTTGCCCATGGAGAATTCATTATCTAGTAGGAATTTACTTAGCCTTTCATACTATGCCCATGCCCTAGGAGCTTGTTTTAATCCATATAATGCTTTTGTTAGCTTATAGACATGATTAGGATTACGAATGTCTTCAAATCTGGGTGGTTGTTATACTTATACATTTTCTATTATGTGTCCATTTAGAAAAACATTTTTTACATCCATTTGACACAATTTAAAATTTATATAACAAGCATAGGCAAACATCATCCTTATAGCTTCTAGTTTAATTATCGGTGCCAAGGTCTCATCATATCTATGCGTTCTAGTTGATTGTAACCTTGGGCTACCAATCTAGCTTTGTTTCTAGTTATATTATCATCTTCATCTAATTTGTTTCTAAAAATCCACTTGGTTCCTATGATGGTTGTGTTGTTAGGTCTAGTAACTAATTATCATACTTTTCTTCTTTTAAATTGATTCAATTCTTCTTGGATGGCCATTACCCAAGACTCATATCTAGTGCTTCACTTATATTCTTTGGTTTAATGTGAGACAAGAAAGTTAGGTTGTTACAAATGTTCATTAGACTATCCCTAGTTTTGACTCCTTGAGGTGGCTCTCCAATAACTTGTTATATAGGATGATCATGAATTCTCTTAAACTTTTTTGGGAGTTCTTGAGAAGATGTCTCTACTTGTTTGTCAATTTGAGGTTCATTTACATGATCATCATCTTCTATGTTTTTAATTACAAGTGGATCTGATTCATTAAATACAACATGCATGAATTCTTCTACTACAAGGGTTCATTTGTTAAACATTTTGTAGGTCTTACTATGAGTGGAGTAACCTAAGAAGATGACTTCATCCAATTTTGCATCAAATTTGCCTAGGTGGTCTTTTGCATTTAGCACAAAACATTTGCATCACTGCCTCACTTCTCAGAGGTTAGATGCATTGGATATC